ACTCTTGGCTCTCAAACCATCAATCAAGCAGTTTCCATGCATGATGGCCAAAGAACCAAGTTTGTACAAATTTAATGAGTCTAGAAGTAAAAGGAGGATCAAACGGTACAACGGTAGTTCAGATCCAAGGGTTGTGTTCCCATCGTGGCAGAGCCCGTAACCGGTCAGCCTTTGGGTAAGCTTTTCCAAGCAAGCCTCTGACAAACTGTTCAAGAATAACAGATGGAAAACATCGTGACTTAGGCATACTAATGCAAATGCAACGTAAAGAAACACATAAGTGTAGATAAAATAACACATCATGAGTTCGAGTCAAGTTCTCTAAGTTCCCAGCAGCCATGACCGTGCTGTTGATGGTATATACACTACTTGGTGGGGTTATGTCTAAAGGCACTTGCAAGATGAGTATATTTTGATGAGAGTGTTATTGTGAATAATTACTTCCGTTGCAGCCTCTAAAGGTTGACTCCTTTAATTTTTCTTGGAATAGATGGTTTCTGCCCATGAGGAGCAAGTTCAATGGGGATGTTCAAACAAATTGTAGGCTAATAATTCTTATAATTATTTTCTACATTTTTAATCCTTAAGTTTAGGTCAAAGCAACCTTAAGTGGAACAGTTGACACAGCAGAGCTTTTACGTGTTAAATTTATTAGCCACCTTCACTTTCAACCTTTACATGTTCTTCTCTCTCTCTCTCTCTCTCTCTCTCTCTCTCTCTCTCCAATGTTTTCAAACTCGGACCGGACAGGATCGGCCAGTCGGTCCGGTAGAACCGGTGACTGGACCTAGTTCTGGTCCGATGGTCCTCCAAACCCGGACTATACTCAAAATCGGCTTAGAATTTGAAAACTGGAAGAACCGCCGGTTCAATCGGAATAACCAGCGAACTGGTCACGGGTCGACATACGAACCGGCCGGGTTGGAGGAATTGAGGTTTGAACTGGAAAATCGGTCACGGGTCGACGTACGAACCGGCCAGGTTTGAAGAATTGAAGTTTCTTCCAAAAATATGTTGTGGGGAGGGCTTGAACATGGAACAAGTGCATAAAAAATAAGCACTCAAACTAGTAAGCTATCAAGACAATTGTTGATAATGTAACAAGTATATATATTATGAATAATGATTTTTCCCTTGATTTTTTTCCTCCCGAATCCCCCTAATGGCCAAAACGACATCGTTTTGGCCATTTTCTTTCTTCTTTTTTTTTTTTGTTTTCCTTCTTCCATTTTCGACCTGCAACGCAGAAGAGGGAGAGAGAGAGAAAGAGAAAGAGAGAAGAAGAGGGAAGAGATCGTCACCCAGTCCGTCGCCCAGGTCCGATCGTCGCAGTAGCAGCTCCGCCGTCGCCTCCGGCCCGCCTCCGCCTCCTCCCACTGTTATGGGCCCCTCCAGTCCACTCCTCATCCTCCTCCTCCTCCTCCTTCCTTCTCTTCTCCTTCTCTGCTTCTGAAAAAAAAAATAAAAATTAGGGGGATTTGGGAGAGCTCGTTTTCGAGCTCCCTAGCACGGTCCTTTTGTCAATATTTTCTCTCTCCTCTCTATGTTTTCTTTCTATCTCTATTTGAAGCCAAAAACCATTCAAACAACAGCTCTCATCCTAGATTCCTCTCAGAAGATCTCTCTTGTTCTAGATCACACTCACCTCTGCTCAGCAGATCACTCTCACCCCAAATCTCTATCATCTCTGTCATCCCTCTCACTTCTGATCGCTCTTTGATTGACGATGAAGGAGGACGAATGAGGATGAACGACGGCGAACGACACGAAGTCTGAGGTAAATCAACGAGAAGACACAGAATCTAAGGTAAACCTAAAATCACAAATCTAGGGTTTATGTTTTGGTTTCAATTTTTGTAAAAATTAGTCGATTGTGACTGTTTGGGTTTGGATTTTGCTTTCAATTTGTGTTAGCGTTTGGGATTTGCCTTTAATTTGTGATGTGTTTGATAAGTCTCTCCCTTTCCACTAAGAACACTATCGTTTGCTAGGTTAATTAATTTCTACAGATTAAGAGGAGTCTAGTTTGTTATTAATAGAGATATGACGCAATTCTTTGAATTTTTTTTTATTCTTTTCATGTATCATTTTTGAGTTCAATATCAAGAAAAGATATCTCTTGTTTTTCATGTGGTCGGTTCATTTGTTTTCTTTACAACTACCTACTTTTTGAATTTTTGGCTTCTGAAATTGGTTTTGAATTATGTCCTTTTGTCATTGTCCTGTTGAAATAATAAGCTGCAAAATTTTATCATTTTTGTGATGCTAACCCATAAGTTATAGTTGCTGAGATTATGTAATTAGTCCTGAGATTATGTAGTTGGTCCAGAAGTTCACATGTATTCATTTAGTTTCTTATTATTAGTTGGACACATAGTTAACATGATGTTATCGAACCATATAATAATTATCTTGCAAGATTTGTTGAACAAATTATGCATAAAAAAACAAAAATTTTAAGATGAGTTTACTCCAATCAATTTGCTAATAATCAGGAACAAATTGAAATGCCTTTGGTATTATGTATGCAAATTACAAAACTATGGCTTCTTCTTCTACTAATAATAGCAACATAAGATTAAAACCTAGATTGTGTGATTGTAGGAGAACAGCGGCTATGTATATTGTATGAACGAATGAGAATGGAAACCAAGGACGTTTGTTCTTTGTTTTCCCATCGAAATATGTAAATATCTATTATAGAAATTGATCTTTTACTATGTACAAAGTTATTTCTGGGATTTGATTAACTAATGTTTATGCATTGTAGAGTCATAAGGAACACTGTAATTACTTCAAATTCGTAGATGAGGTTGATGACGACACTAGCTCCGCAATTTGTTCCTATGTTGGACCACGGAAAGCTATAAGAACAGAAGAATTAAACGATCTAAGGACAAGGCTTTGTAAGATAGACAATGAAATTCATGAGCATGGTAGAAGGCTTTAAAGAATGGAGAAGAACTTCAAGGCAATGATTTATGTCATTGTGTTTTGTTTGTTTTTGCACTTTATCATATAAATGACTAAGTTAGGTTTTGGGAAATTTCATGAATACCTGCCCGATACATTTTGTGTTGTCTATGTGGATGGGTTTGGATTGAATGGATTTCCATAGGCTACTAATGAATGTGAGCTTTCCAGGTTTTATCATTCAATTTTTTGATTGAATTGATTTTGTCCATTACTATACCTTGGCAATGTCATTTCAATTTATGTGCCCCAGTGTGGTCCTTGAGCTATCTTTCTATGATTGAATTATGTGGTCGAAGCAGTGTGGTCCTTGAAAATGCAGTTTGAAATGGGATTTTTTGTTGATGAATGTAACCATTCTAAAATACAAGTTATTAGAGGAATCTATTAGTTCAAGACTCAATTTTCATTCAGTGTTCCACTTAATTATGTTTCTTCATGTATTTCACTTAATTATGTCTAATGGTAAAACATAAGCAATCTACAATGAGTAAAATATAGAAATAAGAAGAAAAAAAATTACTTAGGATGAAATTCATTCTGATTCAATTGCTCAAGTCCTCAAATCCATTCTTATATAAAATGAGTCTGAAAATTAATAGTTGATGATTGTCAACAAAACTTTGAATACTCAAGTCACTCTAATGAACTTAGAAGTGAGATAACATGATCAACACTATTAAATAGTCAAATTTCAGCCTCCCTATATTGACAAAACTTCGAATACTCAAGTCACTCTAATGAACTTAAAAGGGAGATAACATGATCAACAATGTTAAATATTCAAATTTCAGGAGTATGCAAATGCTTGCAGAATAACTTAATTAAAACCAAACTATCCAAAGTACATATGAATGTCATACAATTACTAGTGCGAAACTAAAAAAAAAAAGAGCGAATTACACTAATAGTCCTTATAGTTTGGGACTCGTGTCACTTTGGTCCATGACTTTTCAATTATGACACATTTGACCTTGAATTTTGAATCTTGTTTTAAATAAGAACAATTGAAAATATCATTACTCAATTTCAAGGGTAAAACTGTCAATTTAATAAAATATAAACTAACTTGACAAAAATAAATGTCAAAAAAATATTTTTGAATTTTTAAAAATAATTTCTACCCATCAAAGATAAAATTATGTAAAATTGATAAAAATTAATAAAAATTACATGATTAATTTTTAAAATTTAATTTTACATGATCATCATCCAAATACATAATAAAAATTAATTTGGTAAAAAAAATTAATATCTGAAAGATTTATCAATTTTATACAATTTTATCTTTAGTAGGTAGAAATAATTTTTAAAAATTCAAAAATAATTTTTGACATTTATTTTTGTCAAATTAATTTATATTTTATCAAATTAACGATTTTGCCCTTGAAAAATCCAATAGTATCTTCAATTGTCCTTATTTGGAACAAGATTAAAAATTCATGATCAAATGTGTCACAATTGAAAAGTCAGGGACCAAAATGACACAAGCCCCAAACTATAGGGACCGTTAGTGTAATTCACCCAATTTTAAATCACTTAATAGGACAAATTAATCAATTTTCAATTCTTATTTAAAGAATAATCTGATTAGTCATCCCAATTCCTAGACTTCACAGGCACTGCCTGAGGAGTTGACGAATTAGGCGAGGTCTAAGTTGTTGAGCGATAATATCCTACCACCCCATAAATTTATTTGTTTTTTTATTTTATTTTTTTTCTTTGTGTGATTCTCTTTCTCTGTTGTTGGTTTGGTTTTGGTTTTAATTTCAGTTTTAGTGAAATTTATGTGTTTGTTTATAGGTTTACATGGTGAAGAAGAATTATTGGTGATGATGGTTGCATTCGAAATATCTATGTCCATTATGTGCCAAGGATTTTAAACGAATTTTGATTTTTTCAATGAAAATCATAATCTGAAGTAAAAAAATGGGTATCGATTTTTTTATTTTTTATTGTCATTTTATTTTATAGGAAATGTGAAAATTTATTGAGAATTCAAGATTGTACTATAATATTAGATTTTTGTATAACTAGGCAAATTTAAAAATTTTAAATATCATTGTGTTTTTTTTAAAATTTTTATCCTCTTTATATTCTATTATATTATTACTGCTATTTGTTAGTTTGTTAATCATAATTCAATTAATTGAAAATGAAAGCTTAATATAACTTTTCATATATATTAATTAATTTGTTATGCTATATTTGTATATAATAACATAATATATAGGGATAATCTCTAAATATAATTTCTATTTTTTTTATATGATTAAAATAGTCCATCTTAAAATAGTATATAGAGGAGTTATATGGCTTCTTTTATCCCCAAAAAATCCAATCTATTTTGTTTTCAACAGTTAAAGAATACAACTAACTATGACAGTTTTTGTATCCTACATTGCGGAAAGTAAAGCAGAAGAAAGAGAGTTACCTCGGAAGTGCCGAATGAAAGGTGGGAGGTAGGCTCATGCAGTAGTAGCTCAGGAGCCACGTGCCTCTCGAAGCTCCGGAACTGACGCAGGCCGTCGGGGGGCAGAACATGGATCGCCGGTCGGTAGGTCGCCGGGTCGAACGGGCGCTCGCTCAACGGTAGGAGCTCGACCTCGGGATCCATCTCGTGGTCCGGAGGAGTCCCGCCACGTGGAATGTCGTCCGCCATATCAGGAATGATGTGAAAATGGCCGGAGGAAGGAAAACCGGGCCGGAATACGAAGAGTCAACCGGAAAGTCAACTCCCGAGAAGGTCGAAAATGGCCGGGAAGGCTGAAATGTGAAAAGGCACGGGAATGAAGAGGAAAACGAGGGGAACAAACCCCGAAAAGGCGGGAACGCCAAACGAGGCACCAAAACAAAGATGTGATCGGTTGAAAATGTCCGAAACGCGAAGGAAATCGCGAATCCGACGACGAAATGGGCGTAGAACGCGAAGAAATGGGCGAAAAATGAGAGAAAAACACTCTAGAGAGAGAGTGAGAGTTTTCGGCGGTGGGGAAGTGAGGAAATAGGGTTTGAAGCCCTATTTTATAACACCCGAAGTGAAAAGTCGAAATTGCCCCGACTCAGTAACTTTTTGCCGGTCGGCAATATTTTGTGCCGACCGGCATTATTTTGTGCCGATGGATTTATTTTTCAGCCGGTGGTCAGCCGGTGGCCTCCCCTTCCGGCCGGTGGTGTTCCCACAACCTTGTTTAGGCCATATGAGAAGTTTTTGGTCTTCATAGCTCAAGAAAGTGCAAGAAAGAGCATCTCCGATGCTCAATCGGCCTCCGTTTTGACTTCGGACTGTGGCTTCTGTGCGTGGCACTCCAATTCATACAAGGTGTATCCTTTTCGTATCCTTTTGACTTTTACAAGGTCCAAAAGTTGCCCCATGTGTATCGCATATCAATCGCACTATTTTGTGCATTTCAAACAGTCGCACTGTTTTGTGAATTTCAAATCGTCGCACTGTTTTGTGCATTTCAAACCGGCGCACTGTTTTGTGCATTTCAAACCGTCGCACTGTTTTGTGCAATTCGAATCATCGCACTGTTTTATGCATTTCAAACCAGCGCACTGTTTTGTGCATTTCAAACCGTCGCACTGTTTTGTGCAATTCGAATCAGCGCACTGTTTTGTGCATTTCAAACCATCGCACTGTTTTGTGCATTTCAAATCGCCGCACTGTTTTGTGCATTTCAAACTAGCGCACTGTTTTGTGCATTTCAAACCAGCGCACTGTTTTGTGCATTTCAAACCGTCGCACTGTTTTGTGCAATTCGAATCATCGCACTGTTTTGTGCATTTCAAATCGTCGCACTGTTTTGTGCATTTCAAACCGGCGCACTGTTTTGTGCATTTCAAACCGGCGCGCTGTTTTGTGCATTTCAAATCGTCTCACTGTTTTGTGCATTTCAAACCGGCGCACTGTTTTGTGCATTTCAAACCATCGCACTGTTTTGTGCAATTCGAATCATCGCACTGTTTTGTGCATTTCAAACTGGCGCACTATTTTGTGCATTTCAAATCGTCGCACTGTTTTGTGCATTTCAAACTGTCGCACTGTTTTGTGCAATTCGAATCATCGCGCTGTTTTGTGCATTTCAAACCGTCACGCTGTTTTGTGCATTGCATTCCGTTGCGCGGTTTTGCGCATCTCATTACATTACCTGCGTAGACCGCATGTTTGTAATCATTTCTTTACTTGCGTAGACCGCATGTTAATTACATTACCTGCGTAGACCGCATGTTAATTACATTACCTGCATAGACCGCATGTTTGTAATCATTTCTTTACCTGCGTAAACCGCATGTTAATTACATTACCTGCGTAGACCGCATGTTTGTAATCATTTCTTTACTTGCGTAGACCGCATGTTAATTACATTACCTGCGTAGACCGCATGTTTCGCATGTTAATTACATTAACTGCGTAAACCGCATGTTTGTAATCATTTCTTTACCTGCGTAGACCGCATGTTAATTACATTACCTGCGTAGACCGCATGTTTGTAATCATTTCTTTACTGGCGTAGACCGCATGTTAATTACATTACCTGCATAGACCGCATGTTTGTAATCATATCTTTACCTGCGTAGACCGCATGTTAATTACATTACCTGCGTAGGCCGCATGTTTGTAATCATTTCTTTACTTGCGTAGACCGCATGTTAATTACATTACCTGCGTAGACCGCATGTTTGTAATCATTTCTTTACTGCGTAGACCGCATGTTAATTACATTACCTGCGTAGACCGCATGTTTGTAATCATTTCTTTACTTGCGTAGACCACATGTTAATTACATTACCTGCGTAGACCGCATGTTTATTGTTCAATTTCTTTCCTTGCGTAGACCGCATATTTATTGTTCAATTTCTTTACCTGCGTAGACCGCATGTATTGCCTGCGTAGACCGCATGTTTATTGTTCAATTTATTTACTTGCGTAGACCGCATATATTGCTTGCGTAGACCGCATAATTGTTCAATTTCTTTACTTGCGTAGACCGCATATTTATTGTTCAATTTCTTTACCTGCGTAGACCGCATGTATTGCTTGCGTAGACCGCATAATTGTTCAATTCTTTACTTGCGTAGACCGCATATTTATTGTTCAATTTCTTTACCTGCGTAAACCGCATGTATTGCTTGCGTAGATCGCATATTTATTGTTCAATTTCTTTACCTGCGTAGACCGCATGCTTATGATCAATTTTGTTGCCGGCGTAGACCGCATGCTCCACTTACATGCTTGTATTTTCACAGCA